GTAATTAATTTATTCTTTGGATATTTTTCTTTGATTTTGCTAGTTGTACCTTGATAAACATGCCCTTTGACAGAAGGTAATTTGTTAAGTGCTGACCAAATTAGCCCGAGATAGTTAAACCAATGCTTCTTGAGATCAGTTTGATCTTCACATCGTAAAGCTCGGTTAAGCATACGACTGAAACTTGTATCACCCAAGTGCACAGTATATAAAAATATAGATGCTGATTCATCAACGGTAAGGTTATTTGCAGATGTTGTATTGGCGCGTTGTTTAGCATGTCGTATATAATCATCCAAGTGAGGAATAGCGTTTTTTATGGGATTGAGAGCTTCTTCCAGTGTTAGAGTACGTTTATTTTGATAACCTTCGATATGTTTTAATGGTTTATTTTCACAGTCGACATCAGTGAGCCGAATAATCAAAGTGTAGTTGTGACCTATAATAATTATTATTTTCATATTATTTATTTTATTCGTTCCTGAATTACAAAAAAAATATCACACCTTCGTATTTTGTCCGTAATAGTCTATCTCATAGAAACTATTAGTGATAACTTAGACAGAATTTTATAGAGATAACTAAGGTGTAATAGTTTTGATAACCACACACTCATAAAATGATAAATATAAATATTGTGAAGTCGAACAAGTAAAACACTTCTTAAATTACTGAGAAAAAACCAAAGCTTTTAGACAATATAATTCTTCAAATTTTTTTCATTCATAAAAATATCAAATTTAGCTCTAGAAGGATGAGAAGGTCCTTAAACAGTCTTAAAGCCTGTTTGAGCAGGCAATTTTTCGATTCTTTTTCTTGTTTTCATTCTTCTCAAAAATACATTTGAACTTTGGAGGTTTGGCTAACATATTATTTTTGAATACGATCTGTTCTAAAAGACCAACCATGACATACTTTTCTAATCTGCGTAAAATGAACCCGAGCTTAGTTTTCACTCAACCAAATAATTTGAATTAATAGGAGTACCGAAATATATAGCTTTTCTGAGATAATCCTTTAAAGTTACGTAAGTCGATTGGATCTGGTCCTTGTCACTTCGTTTCTTATAACCGTTCATAAATTTTCCAATACTATAGAGCAAAATCTGGCATCCCATTCTCAATCTCAACTTCAAAACAAGTACATATTTTGATTCTCATCCCATTGTTTTTTTTTACTTTTAAGAGTGTTTTTTTTTATCTATTTCCAAAATAGCGAGTATATTGCCTATAAACTTTCGAACCACTTCTCAGAAAGATTGAACGCTTGTATGCTAATGAAGCTTGTCATGTTTATTATGATGAAGGGAGGATTTATTCAACTCATGCATTCTCAAGAGTTTTTTAAAAACCTATCCTAATAAGAAATCGATTTCTCTGTTAGCGTTCGGATAGATACTCTGTGTGGTTATGATGAAAGCTTTTCGTTTAGTTCGTTTTCGTTGTGAAACAATGAGGAAAACGAAACAAAGCAGTTATTTTGACATTCAGACAGAAATTCTAACGTTATCAATCTTTCGACAGAGGTATCTACGTACCAGAACTTGCATCTGCTACATGTTGATTATTATTATGCTTTGATTTTGATGATGATTTTGGTTGGTAATGGCTATCTGCTGATTTCGTTGAAGAATTTTGGTTAGTTTCAGGTTTCGATGAAGATGAACCTAAAGTTGGCAGCAAAAGTTCTTTAAAATGTCACATTCAATTAAATCAATGAAGAGTTGTCAATATTTAAAAAGCTAATTCTGTAGCTCGCGAATGTGAATGTAGGTATGCATGTGAAAAAATAGAAGACCTATGATCACACTACTTGTACCTACACATTCACACTCTAATCTGAATGTATCGAAAAGAGAAACAAAACAGTTTTTCAGAATTTTTCTGTCCAAATTTTATTTTGACTTCTTTGCTTTGTAAATGATCTCTGTATGCGACGTACATTTCTTTTAATAAATTTTTCCTTATTCTTAAGGAGAAAAGCTAGATGCACAAAATGTATTTAGTTTCATTCAGTTGCTAGCTTTCCAAAATGTCAAAATTAAAAGAAAACCTTCAAAATGTATCATTTTCGTTCAGTTTTAAAACTCTTTCAAACGGCATGTTGTTTGAAAAGTTGGACAAGAATTGTAAACTTTATAAGCAAAATACTATGTTTGCTGAATTTTCAAGAATTTTTATAGTACTTTTAAAGAAAAGCAATATTCTCAAGAACTACGATTCATTAGAGACTAAAAAGAAAATAGTACACATAATTTTCTGCGGATAATCGAATCAGAGTAGTTTCAAAAAACAATTTAACTTGTTTACCGTATTTTTCGATAGATTCAAAATCGCGTTTCTTTACAGATAATTTTATAGAAATTAATGGCATTAAATCAGAAAGTATTTAATAGAGATCTATGTAGAAATATCAAAGGTTACTGGAAGTGTAATAGTTTTGACAACCATAAAGTAACATTATAATGAACATAAATCCTGTGAAGTCAAATAAGTAAAATTCTTCTTTTATTATTGAGTGAATCGAAAACTTCTAGACTATATCTTTAGAAGGATGAAAACTTTTTAAGAGTCTTTATAATTGTTTGAACTAGCAATTTTTCGATTATTTTGCTTGTTTTCATTAGTCAAAAAAAGAAGCAAAAATTTTCAAAATTTTGGAATCTTTATGAATATATCACTTTTAGAACATGAGCTGTTCTATAGAACCTATCATTCCATGTTTTGCTGATCTGCATAGAGTATGCACGAGTTTTAGTTTTCATGTAGAAAAAATTTTCAAATGATAGGAGTGGGTATGATTGATTGGGGGTTTCGTCAACACTCAAGTAATTTTTCAATTAGATTATTTCAAAATAAATTATTTTTCTAAGATCACCTTTTCAAGGTTACCCATTTATGCCCTTTGCGCTCAATTTTTGTTATTGTATTACCTAATATTGTTATAAATTTTTTCAATACTGCAGAAAAGTCGTACGTCATATTTTCGATCTCACCTTCGAAATAGGTGAACAATTTTGGTTTTCATTGATATTATTTTTAGTACGGAAAATTTTTCAATTTTGCGTTTAAACGTTCGAACTAGCTCTTAGAGAGATTGAACGTTTAGATGCAACTGAAGCTTCTTGTTCTTATTATACTAAATATGCGGATAATTTATTTTACGCGTTCTAAATAATGATTTCTAAAGAACTACTCTGATAAGTAATCAGTTTCACTTTCAGCCTGTGGATACGATACTTCTCGGTATGTTTATGCTTACAATTCCTTGCTTATTTTGTTTTCGTTCTGAATTAATGATGTATTTTAGGATTCAGATAAAGAATCTAATATTATCAATATTTCAGTAGAGGTTTTCACGTACCAGAACTTGCATGTGCTGCAATTTGGTGATCATCATTCTTTGACTTTGGTGAGGCTCGGGTTTCCTTATACTCATCGACAGGTTTCGTTGAAGAAGTTTGATTCGTGTCATGTTTTGATGAAGGTGAAGATAAATCTAAAGGTGAAAGCAAAGATTTTTAAAAATATTTTTTTGATTAAATCAATCAAGATTTGTCAAAATAAAAACAAATTTATTTTCATGAATCGTTTTATGCATCAAATCTTCTAGAGAGTCTAATATCTGCATTAAAATCTATCAAAAGTAATCGATGTTTCCATTAGCTTTCATCATTC